CATACATGCATGCGCACATACACACGAACATACACTTATTCAATTATTTACCTGTTTGCACCTGTCGTTACCAAATTTGGAACTTCGGCGACCGTCCTCAAAACTGAGGTGGGGACCTATTTGCATGACAAGCATTGCTATGCAGCCCATGAGCAGGACGACCTGGCACGTGTAGCTTGGAAGGCTCATAAATAGAAGTATCCGAAAGAAGGGGAAGTATGGACCCCGAATAAAATGGATTCTGAGCAGGTAGCCTACAAGTAGTTTTCTGAACTCCAAGATCTCCCGACACTGCCTGGGCCACGCACACTAGAATCAGAATTGCCACAAAGGCCTGGGGAGACGCAGGCGGGCCCTTCTTTCGATCCATCTCGGAATCTCTGAGGTCATGTTTTTCCAGGGATTGGTGGGACGAATCTGGGTATGCGCGTGGCTATACGACAGGAGGCGGGATGCGCCACTGCAGATCGGCTTGTGCAGCACTTAGAGAAGGGCAGGTTCCACGGTCCCCGCGAGGCCCCTGCCATGCGGAAGCAAGTGACGGCTACGTCCCGCCATTCGCGGTGCCCCGACGGATTGCTTGGTTGCCTCGGTGGCTATCCGACGATTGGCAGCTGCAGCAACATGATGGCATCCTGACGATCAGAAACTGACGAAGTCGTCTTGCGCGTCTACTCTGTAGCTAAATGCGTCCGATTTACCGATGAGATCCTACACACGACACTGGGCACCTGAATCATCCAAAGTCCAATTCACAGGATGGTCAGCTTTCGCGGGAAGCCCTGTGCTAAGTGATGCGCACGATGATCGGGCCGGGCATCAGAAATCCCCGGGACCTCACAGCAAACACGTGAAAGCTCGGCATGAAGCGGACGAGAGGAGTACGACTCCTCGCTGCTTGTTCTGCACAACCAACTGCCTCCAAGCTGCCGGTACGGGCAGGTGACCTCCAAGACCCGAATTGGTGGGGAGAGCACCTCTCAGTCAAGGCCGTAGTTTGAGAGTTTGACTGTGGACCAAGCTGGGGTCAATGTTCTAGAGTCGTAGAAGCGTAACAGCAAGAGCACAATCGGCGTCGCGCGACCAGATGCCTTCTGCCACTCAGCTTTGGTCTCATTGAGGTCAGCCCAACGCCTCGGGGCTTTCCGCGAAAGCATCAGGTGCTAGCGAGCCAGCGAGGATCATCCTAGAGCTCTGAGTCCTTCACCAGTCGTACTTGCAGTGCATCAAGGAAACCTTGCGATCCATCTGGACGATAGCCTCGAAGAGCCTTGGTGCTTGCTGCTTGAGGCCGCACCCGATCGCACCCGCGTTAAAACATGATGAGGGCATCACGTCAGCCAAGTTTGTCCATCGCTCCCGAAAAGCCTGCAGAGCACGATTGCTCAGCAAACCCCTGTCACGGTTCCGGTTTCGGGTTTTGAGTCCCATGCGGGAGCACTAGTCGTAAGGGTTTTCAGGAGGTGTAGGGTCTAGGGCCTAGCCCCGGAAGAAGGCGATAATGCAAGCCTGAGGCTCTTTCACTTACTTCAGCCTTCCTTTATACTGTAATAAGTAATTGCTGAGGACGGAATTCCAATCACATCGGCAACTTGAAGGTGCATCTGCAGTCTACACAGAAAACGAGGTTGCCCGGGGAAGCCACCGTTGAACCGGTCCCGGTAGCACTGCGACTTCAACAGGTAAGCACGACAAAACACAGCAGAGCACCTCGCCAGCCGCGAGGGCTGTGGATTCGGGGATGGGAGCCTGAGCCACGCAGTCCCACAGTCCACAGGGTTTAGGCTTAGGTTTGGTACAAGTACCGAGGAATGTCCGGGAAGACGAGCTTCTGAGGCAGCCAGTATCTTTTCGCAAATGTTGCTCCCCAAGCTCAGCGAGTCCACCCGAGCGCGTCCTTGAAAATTCGTCCGTCCCAGCCAGCACGAATGCAGAAGTGCTGCCGGTTTCGAAGGCTTGTAAGGACTTTGTGATGGCAGATGTGCCTCTCAACCCAATGCATCCCGTTCTTTATGACGCGGCTACACTTTGGACCTGGGCAATTTCAAGGCGAAGGTCTTAGGCTTGTCCAGAGTAGCAGACATTGCTGAGGGCCTCAATTTCAATGGGCGGAATGCGTCCGAAGACAACAAACCATCACTCTCTATGCATGAAGTTGGGCGGTCATGGTTTAACCATTGTACAGCAGCATCTGCGACCTAGTCTGTCCGGCTGTCTAAATCCACCTACGGCCATCATTCAGCTCACAGTTGCAGACTTTCGCTTGGTGTGCTGGGTTCAACGTCAAGTCGAGTCATGGCGCAGGCAACTGTGAACCGATGACTTGAAACCTGCCAAACTGCGAAGGTGAAACGGCGGAACAGATTGCAAGCCTGTTGCAAATGTTGCTAGCTCCCCCAACTCTGAGAGTAGCATAGATCGGTCAAAAGAATACAGCGACTACGGGAGAGTGAGGGTGCCACCAGTTAAGCCAGGCCTCTGCTGGCAAACTAAAACTCAAGCTCCGATGAGCACTTAAAGATACGCACTTTAACTCCTCTATCGCGCCCGGATGTAAAGCCTCTTGGCCAGCATCCCGCCTCAGACTCAAAGATGCTGACACTCCACTCTCTCATGGGCGTGCGGTCCTACGAGATTTTTGCCAGGTGGCCTTCAGCGGGAAGTGTGACCTGCGCAAGAGTGATTCGAGATGGACGACAGCGAAAGCAATCGGAGTAGCAATAAGAACAGCTAAAGCATGAGTACTAGCGACAGCAGTGAGGGTGCTGGTTGGAATGCCGCTATTCTGGTGGTGTCGGTCCGTGGTGGCCATCGTCGTCGTAGTAGTCGTCGT